TTTCGATTCATAGTATCCTGTTGGATCTTTCATGCCATAGGCCTGTAGGTTACAGACCTCATAGCTGATCTTATGATTAGAAAACAGGCGTTTTGCTTCTGGTGAAGACCAGAGCCTGCTGTAGTATGGGTTCTCAAGAACAAAGTAACGTCCGAGCTTCATTTGGTGGTCTGCGACCGATTCACAGAATTTTAAAACAGAAAGTCTCTTGGCAGAGCCTTTCTTCCACTGTGAGTACCAGCTAGACCACTGAGAATGGTCCGGTGACATAACAATAATAGTAGGTTCTTGTTCCTTGATGATCCTAAGAAGATTGGAGCGACCTTGCGGTTGCTCAAGATCTAGACCGCTACGCAAATCGACTGGCTGACCTACTCGAAGACCTGACAGGGCAGCCTTGTGACTCATGCGGGGAGATCCGCCGTAGAGTTCTAGGAAGTCAATCTTCCCAGTGCTGGTGACCTGCCAGTGACACTCTTGATGTGGAATCGTTAGGTCTGTCGACTGCAGGGAAGCATCGAAGGTGACCATGCAACTTGCGTGGTCAGAACCTTCTGACGTCAGAGTTTCCTCATCAGGCGCGAGAGGAATCTCCACATCAGATGTTATGTCATAGTTTTTCCTCAGTTTTGAGATATTGACGCGGACGATGCGTGTTCCAAGATCCACACCTACCATGGATCCTCCGAGTTCGGAGATCACCTTTCCTTTTAGCCAAGATCCATGTTTGGACCCAGTGGATCCAATCTTAGACTTATCTTCTGACCAGTAGAAAACCTTATCTCCCAAAGAGAAAGGTCCTTGGGTCATTGACAGTCTGGCTGCAAGATCTCTACGCAGATCATCAGATTGGCGTGCCTCTTGGTAAGCCCTGTTGGCAAGCTCCTTAATGGCTCTCGCAGTGACTTCCGTATCAGTTGGATTACCTGTCAACTGATTGGGATCAGCGTTCTCTGGTGTTATAACATCTCGAGGACGCCTTCCAAAGGCCATTTCTAAAGGAGTAACTCCTCCGTAGGTAATCGAAGAGTTTCTTGCCAAACATGCTTGGCGAACGAGGTTGCCATACTTCATGGTGATTCCGTTATACTGTGGGTCACCATCCTTCAGGATCTGAAGTATGAGCTTAATCTGATGCTTCAGCAATCTTACAGCAGCTTCGGCCCTGTTGGGCCATGGTGTTCCAGGTCCTGTTGCCACAGGCTTGATATTCTGCCGATTGTAATAAGCCTCCATTTTTGGAGTCATGAATGCTTGATCTCCAACTACAACCTTTGGGTTGATCTGAAATTTCTCAAAGTAGTCATTCATAATCGACATTGTAGTATGTTCTTCTTTATCCTGGACTACTTCGGCAGTCAACAAGTTTGTTGCTCCATCATAGAGAATAAGAAATACTAAGCGACTATCCTTGCCGGGAATTGGAAGCTCACCGTGATCTACGAAGGTGAGATCACCGAAAGTCTCTGATCTTAACCAGAAATCTTCGCTCTCGAAGGAGCTCTCACATGTTCCTGGCAGGCTGAACACTTTTTGACCAGTTGGTCATATAGCTCATAGATCTCCTTTGGGATCTGTAAGGCCTTTGTGCGTCGCTTGAACTGATCCGTACTCATATGACGGTGCTTGAGGTGAAGCTTATAGAGTTCTACAGGGTCCTTAAGCTTCTCATGAATCCTGCGAAGAGCAATGGGAAGAGATGGCGATGGTTCTGCGACAATCTCTTCACCTGTAGGTGAGTCTGTACCAGGAGCCGGGTATTCTCTTGACTCAAGTGGTCTTACCTCCGTCCCGTCATCAGCTCCTGGGACCTTAGACTTCTCTTCAACAGGAGATTTAACCGCATATTTGCGGGATTTCTTCAGAAGGTTTTTGAGACCCCTTGGAGTCTTTATCTTCGCAGGTGGAACCTCAAGTCTTTCTTCTTCTGGAGGTTCATGTGGTGCAGAGGATTCTGCAGGTTTGTCCCTAGAACCTGATGATGGTTCCGTTGGTCCGGAAGGCTCAGGAACATCACCAGATGGTTCTGGTGGATCAAGTTTCTTGGCAGATGATTCTGCCGGATCAGATGGAAGAGGCTTCTTTTTGCCTGAAATCCTCTTCGGTGGTGGATCAGCTGCTCCCTCAGGTGCCTTGTCACAGCCCTTGAGGTACGTGTGAGCCTTTTTCTGTCCGGCACAGGCTGGACAGCGACCTTCCGGTATCCTAACATAAGGCTTATTGGCTCCTAGAGCAGTCTCCGTCGCACTGAACGACGTACCTGACTTAGGAAGGTACTTCCTGGTGGAAGTAAAGCCTAGAAGGTCCAATACCAAATGGTTATTGGTACTAATCGGAAGAGGGGTTTTATACAAACCGAAAGCTTCACACGTTGCTAGGTCAGCTGTTGGACTACACTCGAGGGTCATTCTTAGATTCCTCATCTGTTCGATGGAGAACAAAATGGGGAACTCTCCCCTGATCCAGAACTTCTATGGTTGTATCTCTTCTTGGAGTTGTGTTGAACCATAGAGTTACACGCTCCTTGATAAGAGCTGTTTCACTATCTGCGAAAGAGAACTTCGTGTTCGAAGGTGAAAAAGTGAAATCAATCATGCCTGGGGCATGTTGCTTCACGGCCTTGATAAGCCTGTTCACCGCATAGCGGGAACCCATAGCCCTAGTACAACCAGAGTCAAGTATGACAAAGGTAGGGCTCTTATCAAGATTGATCCGCTCTGTGAGAGCAGATAGGACGGTGTGCTGCAACGGAAACACTGCTGTTGCAGTCTCCACACCTTGCCCCTCGGATGGTTCAAAGACCTGGGGCACGTAACTCACTGATGAGTTGTACACGGGTTCTTGGTGCGCGCTCGGATCTGTGCCTCTACCTGATGATCCTGCTTGATTTCTTCTCTTCTTTTTCCGTGTCTTTCTTCGTGAGGCTTGTGATGCATAGTATGTATAAGACGTTTGATCGTCATAAGCGGCATAATTCCAACTGGAGTCAGTATAATAACTGTCCTCATACCATGAATCCCAGCTCGGTGCGGTGGAACTTTCATAGGCCTGTGGAGATCCAGTTTGGTCTCCTTGTAAGGAGGCAGACTTAGCTGTATCCTTACCTTTGCCTTTTGATTTTGTACCCTTGAAGGAGCTTCCTTTATCTCCTTTGTCCTTTCCTTTTCCTTTGCCTTTTCCACCTTTTCCTTTTTCTTTTCCTTTACCTTTACCGAAATAGCTGGAATCAGTTGGATCATGTTCTGCCTGGTTGGCTCTCCCTTTTCCGCGGTATGACCTAAAACGGCCACGTCCTTTTCGCTTGCCACCCTTTGCTCTTCCCGGTGATCCGGGACGCATTCTTGGTCTTCTTCCCTTTTTGAATCTCCTTGCAACGAAGGCTTCATGGTCGTCAACTGTCCAGAAGACAGCTTCTTCATCCTCGGCGGCAAGAAAGCCTTCCTCAAGGGTGTCTTCGTCTTGGAGCCAGAATCCATCGACTCCGTCGTATTCACCCTGATCGAGGATGAGGAAGTTTCGACCTCCGCGTTTGCGGCGTTGATCTCTCCTTCCATGGCGGTCCTTCTTGTGAGAAGTGTGCCGAATATTGGGATCCTGCAGACCAGTTCTGGTCGTTGAGAACTGATCGAACATGGTCTGCCGTACTATAGGGTACGTGTAGGTCTCAATTCGGTAACCTTGGTTGGTCAATGCTGTTACCAACCTCTCACGTTGCATCTCATTTAGGTCGGACTGCACTAGGAAGAGGAGAGCTAGGAGATTATCATTTAGAGGAAACGCTCTTCGATGATTATCAAGGCGTTCCTTGTTCCATGTTTCGAAGAAACGTGCGGCGTATGTGTCTCTCTCGGTTGCATCCTGTAGGCGCAAGAAGGTTTGATCTGCCTGCACAGCCTGCATGAAATCCGGATGGGCATCTTCCAGAGCTATCTCTGGTAAGAGATCCATCCATGAGTTTCTCACGCGCTGTAGCACGATCTCAAACTTAGCAATCCAAGTCACAAAGTCTTGGTTGCCCTTCCATGCCTTGAATAGGCCGAGGAAACGCCACAGGAAAACGTACTGTTCTCCTTTCACGAAAAATGGACGCATCTTCTTCTTGAAGTAATCTACTCCATCTGGGGCTGCAAGCCTTTCTCGGTTGAGTGATTCTTTTTGTACTGCGGCCAATCCGGAGAGCCTCGTCTTGAGAGACGGACCTCTTTTGGTGTCATCCAGCGTTGTTATGTCGCACCAGTCGTCAATCAACTGTTCATACTCAAACCACGAAGTGGTGCCATCATAGGCAGGCGCGATCTTGGGCGTTATGCCTAATGATGCAAGCATGCGGTCAGATGTTGCATATGACTGTGCGACATAAGTAGCTGGACCTTGGGAGGTCTCTTCGTTCTCATATCCCCCGGAGGATTGGGAACTGCCGTCGGCTTCGCTATGCGAGCTCGACATTGTGCTGCCTCTTATCCGCTTGGTTAAGCGTTCGGCGAGGCCGACCGCTGTAGCGGACTTTGTGAGGCGGGCGGCCCTTTCCGGGCTCCGCTACCAGAAAACTGTGCCGATACACCCCCAAGGGATACTCCTTGTGAGGAGGTGTATGACCAGTTATTCCCTAAGGATCAAAGGGCAGCGCCCTGCACACGGACAGTAGTTGTTTTGTCTTGCTACGCAAGGAGAGCTTGTCTTGTCTCAATATGGTAAAACCACTGTGAGCCAATGGGCAGCGGAATGTATATGTATGAGCATGCAGCCATTGCTGTAGGTACCTGTTAGAGCTACCCCTTTAGAGGTTTATGGTTTCACCCCCCCCCTCCCCCCCCCCTCCCCCCCTCCCCTACCCATTCTCCTCGCACTTCGTATCAACAACCGTGTAAAGGTTGGGGTTTGACAGGCCGCCCTAGCATAAAATAACATCGACTGCCCCCTCGCCCTGCCGCTACACAGCCGAGGCGGGCGGCGTAGCGTTAAAATTAGCCCCTGCCACTGGATCCAACCGGGGTCTCGACAAATGCTATCCAAGGCATTAGTGTGGCCCGAATCTTGTCGCAGCCAGACATCCTGCAGGTCAGCGCAGTTGTTCCGTGGGTCTACCCGCGGCCCGAGGCAGTGCTCCAGTGCTCCTCGCGGCGATTGGATACGGCTCCGGAAGGAACAGCTCTGAGGCCTCCAGACTGCACTGCAAGGCAAGGAGCTTAAGCAGCTGGAACGGCTGTCACTGTCAACCGTTGGTTTCATCGCACAGTCACGGGGCCTGTTCTTCGTAAAGGTCTTCCGCTGCACTGATGTCGGCGAGCTCGGCAGGCTCCGGCATGCCCAAGGTGCGTCGGGGAAGCCCCGGCACATCTGCAGAAGCGGGAATCAACCTCTCTCCTGTTACCACTGCCACCGACGACGATAGACTGTTGGCATTCAGACTACGCGAAACGGATGTTCGCTCCTGGTGGCAGGCTCACAGGGCGCCACGACATGGCGCCGCCGCTCATGAAAGTTCCAATAGTTCTAGCTCAAAACAGAAAACCAACATCTACCACCAAAACTCACCGAATCTGCAAGGTAGTGCAGTCACAGACAAATACCATCGACCGCTAACGACTGCAAGACATGCAACGTGAGGAGACATGTTCTCCGTCAATCTCCACCATGCCAGCAGCTACACAGAATTCTGCTTGGTACTGGGAGATCGACTGAGACCGATGCATCCCCAGCAGTTGAGTGTAGAGTGTGGCCCGCACCGCCCAGGAGAAATCGCGATGACCTCTCACAATGTCAGAACTGCTGCGCTGCCTGCGACATCTTGCCCTCTCCCCTTAACCTTGGGAGTTCATCCAGCCGCCCAGCCCAGTCGCCTTCCAGGAAGCCTTCTGCAGCGACGTTTGCCGCGGCCTGCGGAAGGCGAGAGATGAGGAACACCGCCACCCAAACCAGGCGGATCTGCCTGGGACCGAGACAGCAACAGTGTGGTGGCAGTTGATACTCGACGGAGCATCGATTTGGCTCCAGTGAAGCTGAGCGACCCCAGTCTGTCGGAAGTAAAGAGGCTCGGCAGGAAGCCGATAAACACCCCTGCCACCACAGCTGCTGATCCCATCAGTTGCACCTGAGGCATACAGCTCACGCGAGTTCAGAGGAATCACAATACAAGCCAGACTGAGAGGCATGCTGTGCTGTAGCTTTTGCGCAGCATGGTTGCCGATAGCATTAACGACAGCGGCACCACAGCCTGTCAGGAGCCACTGATCAAACAGCTTGACTTTAGCGAGCCATTCAGTCCTGCTGAAGAATCGGTGGCAAATCATCATTGCCCACCCGAGGAATGCTCACAATCTCCAAGGAGTTCCTCAGGCTGAGGCAGGTCAGGAGTGTGTGCCACCAAAACTCAGAACAAGCCCCGATGAGCAGGAATTGGGCAGAGCCAAGGGAGGGAAAGGAAAGCGTAAGAGCATAACTTAAACATAAGGAAAAATGCTTGTTGAAAAGTAGCAGGCTCTGAGCGGACAGGAGCGCCGCCAAGCGGAACCAGTATGTCAGATGACAAGAGCTTGCTCTCGAGTCCTACACGCAGCCATCTGCACTCAGATGCACTCAGACTCAGACTTGTCTTGTCAAGCATGTCGTGCGGAAGCGGAATCCTACTGATTGCAAGCGCAGTCCTTTGGCATTACCGTCAGTAAGCATCCCGAAAGCAGGGCCCCAATTGCAGCATTCAGCTGTGCAGCGAAAAAAGGGAATTCATGCCTGGTCGGCTGTCGATTTGGGGCAACAACTGCCGCCACGTCAGGAACCACTGCCCTGATTCATGCAGCCGAGCATCAAGTGGTGAAGCTCGGAATAATAAAGGCATGTGCTGATAATGGACACGACACAATTCGCAGCGCAGATTCCCGCCTGGCCAGCGCCCATGTTTACCGCGGAGATTACGATGGCAGGGGTTGCTACAGGGTGATGTGTCTGGGACAAGCATTCATGTGCCACATCACTTGGGTAGAAAGGCAGCCGAGCTGCGATGGCGACAGCCGCTGATGCTGTCTGGGTAGGAAGAAGTGACACACGCGGCTCGCGATTCATCCATCAAGCTTTCAGCAAATCAAGCTAGATTCTGCCTGGGCAGGTATAGTATACTGGGCCTCCAGTATGAAGCAAACATAGGCGGACAATAATTCTCGTCAGAGATAGCTCCATGTGCAGATTCTCAGGCATTTAGCCAAGCTTGAGACGGAACAGGGCCATATGTTTGCATTTCCAGCTTACTGCAAACTTTTGCAGTCCCACGATCACAGCAGATGACACTGCAATATGTGTTCCCTTTCTCATCGGGGATCCACCTCATTAGCTGGCTGTCAGCCGCTCGAAGGAGCAACTGATCTGCCAAGACAAGCATTAACTGCAGGCCATGGCGTTGTTCCGATACGCCTTCCTCAAATTTGGAGTTGGCCGAGTGTCGAAAGGGCAGCATGTAACCGCATCTGTGGCATTAATGAAACAACGAAAACCAAAGCTTGGATGTAACATTTTGGTAACCTTGGCAGATTCGGCAACGGGATGGCATTCTTCGAAAGAAGGCTTTCCGGAAGGCTGCACAGTGTCGGAACGCCCACTCTCAGTGGCACATTATCGGCACGGTGGACACTTTCGCGCTCCTCGGATAGAAAGCAGCCAAGATAACATTCTAGTCATACGCTTGTCGCACTGGTCCGGTGTGCACTCCTACCAATACAACAAGACAGGAGGGGATGGGTTATAACTTATAACCATCACGAAAGTCTTCTAGCAGCCGGCGAAGCCGGGCCTGCCATCGAGATTCCTGGTTCCGAACTGCTACTGTTTCGAGTGACGCTGTCGGAACCCAAACCTCTGGTGCTCTAGTTACTTCACCTGTTCTGCGTGTATGAAAACATATACAACGGAAGACCTGCTACCGGTTCCCTTGCTTCACTGTCTGCCTGGTCGGGCAGTCTGTCTGCAGTGTCCTTGTTGTCCTGCCTGCTTAGCATTGGTTGCTCTTCTGTCTGCATGTCTGGCTGTCTGCCTGCCTGCGCGAGTACGCTCCGGATGACATGGGGATGTCCGAACACTGGCACCAACCCGAATCTTCCGTGAGAACGATGTTGAAAAGGTATGCACTTGCAAGCGCTGTGCAAGAAATCGCAGAAGTGTCGTTGGGTGGGCCGGGATGTTCTGGGGGTTCGGGCTGGTAGTCATAGTGCGGCGGCACCAGAAAAATGATGACAATGGTAAGTAGCAGCGGTCGTAGTAGGAATGGCAGCAAAGTAACAGTCATCGTCGTCGTCGTAGCAGTTGTTCCTGTCCATGGTAGGAGGGGTAGGAAGAAGAGCGGCAGCAGTAGTCGCGGTGGTAGCCCTAGTAGTAGCAGTAGTAGTAGTAGTAGTAGTAGAAGAAGAAGTAGTAGTAGTAGTAGTAGTAGTAGTAGTCGCAGCAGCAGTAGCAGTAGTGGTAGTAGTAGCAGCAGGAGCAGTAGTAGCAGTCTAGTAAGCAGAGCAGCAGTTGAGTTGAGCAGTGGCAGTCGTCGTCGTCGCCACTGCCGGCATGGCGGTCGTCAAGTAGCCAGAAAGAAAAAGTACCATCTGAGTCTTTGTAGCGATAGATGTGCAACAGTAGGAAAACAGCACTAATTTTCAGACTGGATGAATGCATCCAAGGATCGACCGTCGCATAGCTTTAGGCCGTCAGAACAAAGATTGGTTCAAACGAATGACCAACACCGCGACCTGCCTCTCTCGGACAGAATGCGCGATGCGGCCTCAATGCTCTTGAGGCAACGTCCGACGCGCTAGAATCTACAACGACTTAGAAGAGGCGACGGCACAGGGTGCTTCCCAGGATTGCCTGGCCCCGAAGGGACTCACACAAGCATTGCCTCACGGGTGCCCCGTCTACAGACTGCAAGTATCCACTTGAGGCACTACTTGCTTTACCAAGGTTGATAATGCTTTTGTGCTTGCCCTCAAAAAGACGGAGCTCGCCTGCGAGAAAGGTGCGTCCTCGACTTGCACAGCTGCAGTAGAAGAAGCATCGGGAATATGACAATTATGAGTGTGGAAAGATAGTTCCTGTTTACCATCAACAGCTGACAGTTTGCAGAGGACGCACCGTCCACGAGGGACTGCGCTTGACTGCAGCAAGACAAAAGTCATACAACAAGAACAGCTTCTGGACTTGTATGCACATTCTGGGCGGCATTCCTCCTGGGTGGCATGGGTCTTCTAGTTGAGGAAGGAAGATGCTTCCTTCCCTTCCATTCGCCAGGCGGAAAGCACTTTCAGTAACATGGTGTGCCATTTGGAGAACGGCACAGCCGGAGCTATTTGGAGGTGAAAATGTGAAAATCATATCGCCACCGGCCTCTCATTAGGAACCAGCAGTGGTTAGAAGAACAGCAATCGGCAATCAGTAAAGACTTGTGCTTTTGAGAAGCCAGAGCGGGTGCAGTAACTCAATGTGGCAGCAAGCCACACAGAAGTTTAGGAGGCTAGGAGGGCAATCCACAAGCTAGTATCTAGGGCTAGGGCGGTGGGACAAGCGCTGCACAGTTTGCAGCAGCTGGCTAAGCGGATCGCATGACAGATGTGTCATGCTTGCACAGCTGATCTGATGGCTTCTCTGCCAACATTCGAAGTCTTCCGCTGCTGCCTGCAAGATCTTGTGAGAGCTGTGTTTTTTCATGGCAGGGGTGGCTTCGAACGAGTGACCAACAGCTGACACATGACATCCCGATAGTGCAATCGGCGTACCTCACAGCAACGACGCCAGGTCTGCTCCCACGAGCTGCTCTTCAAGCGGAGCTCGTTCCTGCCCACCATCTGGTATGTGACACTTAAGCAGTTTTCATTCTCTGAAACACTCCCGCCTGACTTCCGTCCAACTCTGCATGCTTGGTCTCAAGCTGGTCCAAGCTTGTGTGCTGCGCAGCTTCTACCTCGTCTGGAAACTGGTACTGATGCTGCCACGGTGATACCTTTTGCAAATTTCTATCCTCAACCTTCGTCCCCAACATCCTCCGTCACTCCCGGCCTTGACTTTGGGAAAGCTGAGCCAGGTCATGTGGGAGCTCACCAGCACCGCCTCGCAAAGTTCCGCTGAATAGAGCACTCCAGCAACTTTTGTGTCCGGCGGCCTGCTGGCTACCCGGGCCAAATGAGGCTTCGTGCCTTACGGTACAACGAAGCTGTCTTCGCCTCGGGCCTCGGCCTTTTCTCCGCAACACGTCCTCTCCCTATTGGCAGGCACGTTCCACTGGGGGAAGCCAAAGGTAACACCACCAGTCTTGCAAACATGATAAGCAGCGTGACTTGAGGCGACTAGCCGGTGCAATTCCGGGTGAGCATTTCTCCGACAGAATGGAACGATATCGCAGAAAGGAACTATGATGTGTCTCGGACGCTATCGTCGCCTGTTGACTATGCCTGTTTCTTCCCGGCTTTGTGGAACCCCCCTTCGGCCCCTCTCCGTGACACGACCACGGTTGTTACAACGGGCTCACGCCGCTGTGAGTCCTTTGCGACTGTGGCGCTGCATCTGCTTCCGGAGACATGCTCATTGATAAACACTACTGCTTCCTCAAACCCTAGGAGCATTGCTGTGGCTTCAGTATTTACCAAGCATGAAGTACCGCCGCTGCCCTGTCCTTCCGAAAGTGCCTGCTTCCAACAAGTGCCGATGCCAACCAGTTCCCTCGCTCTATCTCCCTCTTGGTAATGCACAGCGAATCCACGGTCACGACCCCTTGTCAGCAGCCCGCCAACGGTCAGAAAACTCCTAAATACATCCAAGAGTTTGGAGCAACTTCTACTACCACTTCGTGAATGGAAGAAGAAAAAAACAGAGTGGACAAAAGAATTGAGCAAGTGCTGTCGTGACCGCTCAACAGAGCCTTAGCACACGACACGGTCAAAGCAAAGAAAAGAAATTGATCGCGGTGTCCCGGCTCGCCATGGCGGCTCTTGTGGCAAACCTCCGTGGGTAGTGTTTGGAATTGCTTTGCAAACGGCAGGCGACAGCCACATCCAGCTAGAGCCACTTCAATGGCCAGTGTAGACATAGTAGCACGTTAACTCCTGCAGAAAACAACACAAACGGCAACCAAAGGATATACGGTTGATGATATAAATCCTGCATGACCTTAAGGACCCTAAACTATGGGAATTATGGTATATTCCTTATTATGGGTCATGCAGGATTTATATCATCAACCGTATCATCATATATCGTCTTCCACGACTGTACAGGAGCCTCCCCATCAGCTCCAAGTTGCTGACAACGCTGAGAAAGCCATCTCCGGAAGGGGAGCATGGTGGCCAGAAGGGGAAGGGCAACGTGCACGCAGCAAGGCTGCTCTTGTCACGGTCAATGTATGGCCCGGCAGGCTGGACATGCTTGTCAAAAGCAGCCAAGGTCGTGTCGTCTGGAGGAGTGCAGGCGGTGTGTAGAGCATCGATATCCACGCTTGGCCCCTGTTCTGCCCGTCGGGGTCAACGAAGACTGAACTGCAGCGAATCAGGAACTATGCACAGCAGAGGAGCAGACTCGAGCAATCGGCCTGCACCCAATGAGATGGTCCTGGAAAAGGTAAGTGTTGCCAATCATGTGACGGACAATGGCAGCAATCAAATGGCTGGAATGGCCATCCGGCCGCGTTCAGCAGCGGTACACTTCAAAGCCAGGCAGTGATACTGAGGGATGGGATGAATAGGCGACCCGTGCGGCGCCCCAGGTTGCCTGCCAAAGCCTTTGCCAACCAGCCTTTCGGCTGTTTCCAGGATACAGTTGCTATAAGAAGGAACCTAAACGGCCCGGTTACGTGCACAACGAACGAAGGAACGCTGAGCGAGGGAGTGCAAGGATACTAGGCCAGCGTAATCTAGCGTCTTCCTTGCGGAAACAATTCGAAGTTGACTGCCCCGATGCGACGTTGATATCGATATCAATCGATATCCATGCACTTCTGCTCCCGACTTGCAGTTGGGTGTACTTTCTGCCGATGGCCCTCCGGGCGAAAGCGAAACACACCAAGTTGCTCCGTATCTCAAGTGATCCGGAGGCGCTTCGAGCGAGGCAAGCCGAGGCCAACGAAAGCCTATCCCAAATTACGAGCAAGACGGAGCCCCACGCAGGGCGTTCTAGTGATCGCTGTCGAGCGCGTTGTTTCGCATGCTCATCCGGCTGCTGTTTGTGTCACAGTCAGAGCCACTGTTACAGTACTGCCCGTGTTACTCTCATTGCTGCCTTGGCAGTTCTGCTTGGTTGCATCATGCTGCTTTCATAGATCTTGCTGCCGTCACTGTTGAAGCTGCTGGTTTTGCCAGCATTGTTGTCTTGTTGGAAAGTCAAACTGATGTGCTCACTGCTGACGGCGCGACCCTTACTCCGCCCTTGCCACCAGAAAATGCTGCCCTGTTCTCGCGCCACTACCCGCCCCCTCGCGTCCTCTGACAGAATGTGACGGAATCAGTAAGTCTCAGCTTTCAGGCAACGTGCTTTAAGATCAGGACAAAGGCGGAGTCACCGAAGCCATCATCATGGATGTGGCCGTCTGCGGTCCGCCCTGTCAGAGCATGCAGCAGGCCGTTCGAAGCAGCAAAGGCACATGGCATGGCATGGCCGTGCCACCCCGCCTCTGCCGCCTCTGGGCTGGGCAAGTTCAACAAAATAGATTCGCCCTTGGCCCTCAGAGACTGCCGGATGAGTGTACCTGACAGAGCACCCAGGCCAGCAAAGCCAGCACTTCTTCGCGTGATAGCTTGCATACTCTCTCGCTGCAACAGCCTTTTGATGTGGTTTTCAGTCACAGTTGCTCTCCGATCGTCGGGTTCTTGCCACTGTGAACTTCGATAGGTTCGGAGCTTGGAAAGTGTCCATTGTCCGTGTGGTTATTTGGACATACAAACCTTCGGTAGTCTCTGGATTGAATGGCAGCTCGCCGGACTTTCACTGTCGCAGATTCTGGCTTCGGTACATCCAAAGGTATTCATGACCGAACTGCGTATTTAAGAATTTAAGATGGCACACACAAGGCAACTTGAAGGTAGCTGGCCACGGAAAGGAGATCCACTTTTACTCTGAGGGCGGGTAGACTCGGGTGGGTATTGAATCCTTGGCATCATCAAATTTATGAAGCAAGAACATCCTGATCTTGATCGGTCGTATCGCTGTGACTCCCTCGCTGTCGCATTGATCAACACGAAACCTCAAAACCACTGGGTCGGTGGATTGATTTTGCATGGCCATTGCCGCCGTGATCTGGATCATGGGATTGCTTATTTTGGCAGAGATGTTGCAGCCGGCAACCTGGACTCACACTTAGCAATCTCTCTGGAATCACGAAGGAGCCTGTCGTCCCGGAATCGAAGAGGCCCTGCACCGGTGTCCGCGTCTTGCTGACACCTGAGCCAGGACTGCAAGCACGAGAAGATTCGAGCTGCCCATGCCACAGCACAAACATGCGAGACGGGTCTGGGGCGGTTGAACACTTAGTTCTGAGCAGGCTGGACCAGCTCCCTTGCTCTGGAAATGTGTCTTACGCTCCTGCACCCACGCAATTTGCCACGGTTTCCAAATTGCGCCCGCTATTCTTAGCATACAGTCCTCGCGGACGAGCTCACGAGTCTGCTTCTCACTCCTTGGAGCAGACTATGGCGAAACATGTGCACAGCAACTGCAACTTTGCAGACCCTTGGGTTTTGTGGCACAGCCACCCCGTTCACGGATGACTCTGTCGCATTGCCAGTCATTGATCCTGGCCCCTTTGCACCTTTTGAGACCCGATCCCACCGATGCCGCTGTCCACGGTCATCGCACAGTGGCCTATGCATGCAACACCGGAAACCGACATACGCAGAACAATCTCAGCCCATCTCAGCCCTACCGGCTGCCATCGTCTTGAGGGTCGAACGGGAGATGACAGAGCATGAGCCAGATTGGCTTGAGTCAACATGGCCAGACATAAATCGATCGCAAGGTCGGGCTGCTTCTGGAAATCATGTGATCAGAAATTAAAAGGTCTAGGCGGGTTTCAGCAAGGATCTTTTTGGGTGAGTTATGTCCTGATGACAAACGATGCCTCATTGCAGGTCCGGCAGAATCTCTTTTTGTCCGCAGAGCCGTCTGCTCAAAGCTCTACATCAAGCCGGCTGCGGGCCTCCAGCACAGGTCACGGACTCTCGGTATTGACTTCTGTCGTCAGGGAACTTTTTTCGAAATACTCCGGGGCTGATGCGAATCACTTTCCCCCACGAGTTTTTCTGGACAGCTCGATAATGTTGCCAGGCCTCGGTGCATTTGCCGGTCACAAGCTGTGGAAGCATGCAAAGTGCTGCAAAGGTTTGCGCAAAAACATGCTCTTGGATGCATACGCGATGTTGTAGAACGCCAATGAATTGGCCTGAGAAACTTCACTTCACGCTACGAGAACAAAACAACCGTTCAATCAACTGCTGTGTTCCCGGCATTTTTCAGGATGTAGCCTGAGTTCTGAACCTGCATAGTCGTACAGTCGTACATGTACTACCCGTTTGGTAAAACACTCGATCTTAAAGCCCTCAAATGCCTGCTCTACAGACCCTTGCTTGTTCATGCAGGCACCTTGAGCTTCATGTCGGCCACACTCAGTCCGGCAGCTGCTACCTGTCACGATGCGAGTTTTCTGGATAGCTATCCGTTGGGAGTAGCTGGCGCTCGTTGCACATGCTTGATGCGGCCTTGGGAACCAGCATCCCCTTGAGCTCTTGCACTTTGTTGCGAACAGACCTGCAAGAAGCCATTGCTTTGCACTCCATCTGTGCCTCCAGTTCGACTTATGCAGTTTGCAGTGCAGCAAGGGAACACTTCGATGGGGATGGCAGGCTGGATACCCGCAGCCAGTGCATCGGCTCCCAGGTTCACCTCCGAAAGCCCAGTTGACGCCCTTGGCAGCGCGATCGGATCTCGGCGCGAGCGCGCCTGGACGATCACAGCTATAGGCACAGGATGTTTCGCCACCTTGGCAGCTTGCAGCAGGGCAAAAAATACCGCATGTCCTGCGTTGGACCAACAAGCCGCATCGACACAAGTGTTACACACCAGCGTGGGCTTGCAAGTTGGCATCACACATTAACAACCGATCTGCCTAAACGGAAATCTTCATCCCAGAAACGCTGAGATCCAAGCCCACGATTCCTCGGCTTGGAGGGATCCGTCGTCTAGGCGGGGCTTCTTCGCAGCTGGCTCGTCGTCCTCGTCATCGTCCGCTAAAGCCATCGGGCCTGTTTCCAGATTTGCTACATGTAGAACGCAGAAGGATGGAGATGAGCCCCAGCAGCTGCGCCTCCGGCCATTCCTGGCGGACGGATGCCAGGAGGTGCACCGCCCTTAGCCATGATAATTGTCAGGATGCTGACGATGACGATGACGATGATGATGATGTTGATAATGATGCTGATGCTGATGATGATGATGGTGATGATGATAACAGTGATGGCCATTACCATGGTGCTGACGGTGCTGCTGCTGACGGCGGTGAAGATGATGATGCAGAACAAGAAGAAGAAAGTGATGAAGAAGACAGTAGTGACTGTATTTGTGCTTGCGGAGACTGTGGCATTGTTTGAGATGGGTTTGATGGAAAGGAAAGTACGACCTGGACTGCACCTCTGATACTTCAGACTGCAAACTTGTGGTCAGAAGTCACGGATTTGAGTCCCTTGGCTTGCGGAATGGTCGTGGCTGGCGCAGGGTGCGGAACCGCCCGTCAGAGAATTGGCGTGTAGCAACCAATCAATGGTCTTGCCAGACCAGCCCGAAGAAAGCGATGCGAGGGGAGGGGTGAGCATGCAAACGGTACCGAAGACCGTAAATGCAAGCTAGTCTTTGCCGAAAATGGGCACCAATATGGCCCCATATTTTGTCCTTAGAGATATTGCAGCCGCAGCCCAAAGCATCAAGATATGTCACATCTTCTCAGGGCCTTTTCGAAACAGACGTTTCGGAAAGAACGTGACTGTTTCCACAGAGGAAGGTTTCGATGCGAGAAAGAAAAGCACAGCAACCAACGCCTCCGGAAGCAGCTGTGCAAAACTGATCTACGCTTTGGATCACTTTTGGAAAACCATGGTGCTGATTTCCGACCATTCGGATATGCAGAATTTACACAAGAACAAAGTCAATTAAACTCTCTCTTGCCAGTTCAACAGGAAAAGTAAGCCTCTTCAGCGCCAGGGCACGAGCAGATCCTTCAGATGAACATGATTATGCTGATATTCATGAGAATGGATGGGATGAGTGAGGTCAGCCTTCACGGTGGTTGTAGAAGTTCACAAGCTGAGGGAGTGACGGCTCCCTGTTGCTGGTTTACGAGAGATGCTTGAGGTAACCTGCATCTGCACTGGCTGCAAGACTGTCCAACTAGGCACACATCACCCACGCCCGCCTAGCGTTGATCGTAGACACGCCTGCAATAGGGCCTTGCTGTCCACCGGCAAGAGCCTCACTGGCAAAAGGGTTTCGATGCCCTGTGTCCCCCACTAAAATCCTCTAAACGACTCTAGTAAACCTTCAAACCACACCACCTTCATCCACCCTGACCCTCCAGCGAGGACTTCGCTGCTTGCCGCCGCCGCCGCCCTCGCTCGCGCTCCTTCGCTCAGGCTCGCGCGGGCATCGACGGAGCCGGCAGCGCAGAGGAGCCCGGCGCCCCGGGCCTTTAGCCGAGAAGAAGTACTTTCTTATGTACTTAATGTTCCGACGGGCACTACCTCAAGTCTCTAGAAGCTCAAGCTTTTCGCTGAGGAGTCAGCTTTCCTGAAGGCAGAGCCTTCGTTGCTGTTGCTGCGTCATATGCCGTTGGCGGCACCATTGTGTGTGCCTCGGAAAGTCTACTGCTGAGCTTTCGGAGCATTTTACGAAAGCTCTACAGTCTCTCGCAGAATGGCCCGGGGTCCGCGCCGGACCGGCATCTGCGCCAGCATCTCGTGCTGCGGCCTCGGCACCTGCCTCTGCTGCTTCTCGAATCTCCTCCTCGACAGTACCGAACAAGTCGGGCCTGCAACAAAAAACACACAGACAGAAGAGGGTCTGAGATGCTGAAGGAACGCTGTGTGGAAGCTCAACGGTGCAGTAGCTCGACGACGGCACTGACGGCACCTCGCCTTTTGGCCACGAAGCTTGCCAAGTTTGCCTCTACGTCATCTGCGAACGCAGACTCCTTCCTGCAAACGGTCCATCTGAAATGTCCGAGCTGAACCCATAGGCAGAAACCGAACCACTTGGACAGTCCTGGCTCGCTCCACCAGGGCATCCTTCTGGTGCTTCCACTTGGGATCTAGCAACAGCACCTAGCAGCTGGGCAGGAATCTGCTTTCAGAGGTGAAGGCAGTGTTCCATGCTGTCCTTTCACTTTCTGATATGTTTTTGGTGTTTTGGTTACATCTCTGTTTGTCTCAGCTGCCAGACAAGGGCGAGGCCTTCAGGTGGTTGGACATCTCCTCGGCAGCAATCAGCTGGCCTCGCTGAGAGTCGTGAAGAAGCATATAGACAGACAAGCAGAAGAACGCACGAGATCACAGGTTCAGCAGCTGCACTCACCCTACAATTGTAAGCAGAAACATAACCTTAACGTGTCGGCTGCCAAACTCGTGTACATCAGGTATCTCCTGCATCAACCTGGTGACCTCAAAGGCTGTCGCTTGATTGTGGCACTGCAAGCCACACGTTAGACCATGTCAAGGGTGTTTCTCCCGTCCTGCTAGCAACCTCTGCCTGGAACTTGACTCAATCTAGCATTCCGGAAGGAACCTGTGATCGGGCAGCGCTGCATCAGCCGCTGTGCACTGCCCTGCGATACATACAAACACAGTAACTCCAACACGAGCAAGGCTGCAGGAATCACGACCGCTGCAAGCCAACTTGTCGTGGCTTTGCATTGCTGTGCACTTCAATCTCTTGAGGGCTGCGGCAGCCCCTCTTTCTGCTTCTCTCTCCCTATATCTCTCTCACTCTGTCTCCGTGTGTCTCTTCAAACCTGTTGAAGCTTCTTGTTTGCGTCAGTTCTTCATTTTTGTTGTTTGTTTCCTCAACGACAGTGCGACTCTTCTCGCAGTCTGATGCTCTGTGCCCCTCATGCTTCTTCTGCTGCTTCCTTTTGTTCTCCCTTCTTCAGCACAGATAGAGGGCGAGTCGAGCATACCGCCCCTGGGCATTGCCATGCTCTAGGGGGATGTGAGTGGAGTGACACAGTAGGCCTGACAGGATCAACTCACCGGCATTCCGACCCAGAACCTCTATACTATCACCCCCAACATTCTCCTCTCTTGCTTGCTTGCTTGCTTGCTTGCGCAGCGTGTGGTGCGAGGAGGTTGAGCCCCCGCCCCTGCGCACAGCGCTACGCTGAGTGTCCAAGTTCGGTCTGTTGTGAAACTTCGGGCTTTTGTTGCGAGCTGGGAACTTTGTTCAAAATCCCAAGTCGGCCTACACGGCATCACCTTGTGTAGCCAGTCCCCGCCTTGCCCAGCTCGCATGTTTCGGCCCGAAGTGTGAGGTTTGCTTAGCCTTTCTTTCCCACCTGTTGTGGGTTGGCATGTTCTGCTGCGGGTCCCCTTTTCTCCTCTCTCTCTCTATATCTCTCTCCCTCTCTCTCTCTGTCTCTCTGTCTCTCTGTCTCTGAAACCACTCTACATCTGGAACTGACGATTCTACGACACCAAGCAAGAATCCTCGGAACAATCCACAAATGCAGATTACTGCTCCTAAGCACAATTATGGGCTTATCACCTTCATGAGCGCATTCACCCTCATCTTAGTTGTCGATTTTCTTCCGTCTGGGCCTTCGGGCTTGTGCTTTACGGCTCCACGGCACTTTTTCCAAGGCTGGTGTGGAATTGTGTGGTTGCAGACTGCAGTCAGGAATGGAGCATGACAAGCTCGGGCTCTGGACGGCCTTCTTCTGTCGAACATAGTCCTTTCGGACTTTCATCTCTGGCTCCTGAAGGCACTGAAAGCTCAAACACCGTCCGCCTATGTCTGGCGAAGAACTGCACTGCATGCACTGCATTGGGGCCACATCTTGCCTGCATAGGGAGGGGAATCTCCGGCTCCATGTCAATGGGCTCCTCCTCAGGGACCTTGAACAGCAAACGAGCTTTTGCATTTACTCTCCTGGATGCAGATCCACTACAACCGCAGGTTTTCGCACGCAGGCATTTACGACTGCTGGGCGCTGGCTGAGCGCTCTCCTTCAAGATTCTTCAGCCGGATTGTTGCCAGGGTTGGCCAGGCCACAGAACGTTCCACACAACTTCAGCTCGAGCAGGCAGATCAATCGTGTACAGGTTTCGATGGCGTACTCTATGGACTAGAGAAGCGATCGCAAAGAAGTAAGAATCTCAGACGACCGGTAAGAGCAGGACCATCTCTTCCTCCTCCCTCTGCTGCCTTTCCCTTTCCTCCTGTCGGGGAACTCGATGCACTCCGCACCTGCCTTTGCTCAGAACGATCTAGCTTGGGCCTTTTCGCGCTGCTCTTCTCTTTCCCGCTCAAGCTCCCGTTCTCGCTGCTCCTTGCGATTCGGATTTTCCGAGCATCTCGGGAGCACCGAGACGCAAACTCTCAGATCCCGACCGCCATTTCCCTTTCTCTTCTTTCCCTTTCCTCCTTCTCTAGATCAATAGCCGGCTCTTCCTGCCATGATGGCAAGAAGCATCCAAAGCTTCAGGCAGGGGCCTGGCCCTGGCAACAGCTTCAATCTTGGCAGCAACACCCGGATTTCTTCCTCCACGCCCTTCACCTGCTTTTCAATCTTTGCCTCTGCGAACATAGTGCCTGCTACATGGCATTGCAGACAGAGAGATCAACGGGTCAAAGCTTGGTGGCGAAGGGCAGGGATGCCAAGGATGCCTGCTTGCTCCAGAGGTGCCGGCGCTCCCTTTGGAGCATGGGTCGAGGGATCGATTGGCGCGGCCTGCTTAGAAGAAGCATGCGGCAATGCGGCAATGCACAAGCGACGTCAAACTCTGCATTCCTCGTGCTGAGCTAAGGACAAGCTGCAAGTTTTCATCCTCTGCAGTAAACCTTACCAACACTTCGTCTGTGCTTCTTCCCAGGTGAGCTCCATGGACACACGCAAAAAGCCATGTCCAAACTGGTGGCTCAATCGTCTCCACGATGACAAAATCATGCCAATCAATCTGTGCCATCTGCTCCTGCACGACCGTCGAAAGCGTTGTTGATTTTGAGTAGCTTCCACTCGTCGCGCTGGTCATGCGAGAGTGGTGTCGGGCCTTCTCCTCTTTAACTTCCTCCTCGCGGCCTTCAATGCGAAGAGTTCGCTCCCCGAGCAGATAGCCAAGATGATTTCTGAGGTGCGGGCTCACGCGGGTGGCTTCCTCCTGCTCGTCCCAAGCAAATCGTGCCATGGCCTCCGACATGACTCCAGGCGCAACATCCCGAGCACTGCCTCATGTTGCTCAGTGTTGTGACGCCCGGCCTTGTCAATTACCTCCTGAGGGTTGCCAGTGCATTTTTTCAGCTTTTCCACCTGCAATCAGAAATTGTGAGCATCTCTTTTTTGTTCGGGGCAAGCGTCTGGCCGAGCGATCCAGATCCAACCTCGTCCTTGTTGGGCATGAGGCACTTCGTGTAAGCCTCAGCAGATTGGCTGTCTTGGCCTTGAGCTATCTGCCTCAGTCTGCAGTAAGAAGCCAACGTCCACCAAGGATGTGAAGTAGCCGAAGAGAGCATGAGTCGGCCTCGGTCTTCCGACTAGAAGAAGTGCACTGATAGTGAAATGTGATGAAGGCCCAGCTTCAGGAAGTCGAACTGCGGATTTCGACTTTCACGCTGCGTCAACCCGATCAGGAATTTCTGGCCTCGGGGCAATGCCGTAGTTAGCTTGGAAATCTGAAGGCCGGAGCTATGTCAGGCACCATTGCGAGCAACGAACTGCGCTGTCAGCTTGATTATGTCCGTGTCCATCGGCGCCTCGAGCCAAACTCAGAAAGAGCCCTCAAGGCCTGAGGCTTTGCGTGAGCTTCGCAGGGGAGTTGAGGCATGGACATCAGCAACATCACAGTACAGGACCAAGACAGACACCGCTTGATTCCATGACGTAGCCCCCACAACACTTTCCAAGCGCTCTAGAGACCACCATGTCCCGAAGACGTCTCTCTTTGCATGCTGGGACTTGTCTGGGCTGCCATGGAAATCCTGCCAACAACGTGCGGAACTTGAGCATCTAAGCTGAACGCAATGTAGGGATGGTTCACCACATACCTGGCAGTGTCAACCACCGTCATGTTGCTTTCCGAGCATGTATGGTCGCATGTCATGACCTCGGCCTTGTAAGAAAATCGAAACGCTTGCACGGCAATGACAAATTTGGTAGGTGTTTAGCTGCTAAGACCGGCTCTGGCAAGACCACTCTACACTAACATTTTTCTAACCTGACAAATATATAAAGTCATCTTTGCTTGATGTTCTTCCCCTGTCTTGTGCGACGGTCCTGTCTGCACCGTAGCTGCAACCCAGGGAGACTAAGCAATATGTTTCCACCATGAAGCTGCTAGCTGTCGTCTTCCATGTCAGACGAAGCGGCAATCTTCGAACTGCACGAAAACCACCGTACATGCAGAACCCACATGCAATTCCACCTGAAGCAGACTCTGCAAATCCTTCCATAACATCGTATTGCATTCCGAGGAGCTGGTCCGGTGGCGGTGGCTTGACTAGTTTCTTCTTCCTGAAACGAAGTTGAGAAAAATCTGCGAACAGAACCATAACATCCCAGGACGATAGAGCCAAGCTGCTTCTCTCCCATCGTCAACGCCTTCAGCTGTTCCTGCTCACAGAGCATGTGACGGACGCTTGGAACAACCGCACAAAATCGCGATCGTGATATTTCGCCTTCTTCAGCCTCTTGGCATCCTCTTTTGCTTTCTGGTCCTCAGACAGATGCGCGCAAGAATCTGGAACTCTTCCAAACATGCCAAGCATGCTCAACTACCAAGTAAGGCTGGTGCTATGATTGCTTGAGGAACTTCAGGCTTTGTGTCCTGCCCGTGCCCGAGAACACAACGTTCCGGCAAGCACTGCATATTCCGGTGGTGCCTCAACAACACCAGTTTTGAACTCTTTGACTTTATGCTCGTAGTAGGGCCTTCAATTCAACGAGCACGACCAATCTTGCATAGAAGCACAGGACCAAGGCCTGTAGGGATTGTTGGGCAGCAAGAAAGCGAACCTGGCAAAATTCATGCCAACATGGCCAAGCATTGGAACAGGCTCCGGACTAGCCAATCTGATGTGGCAAACGTGGGAGGAAATCAAACGGACACGAACAACACAACAAAAAACTGCGCATGCGCTCTGAGTTTGGCAGCTTGGTGTGGTTTTGCTCGCGAAGCACGCGCTGCTCAAAACCTTCACCTTGGCAATGTGAAGAACCGTGAGCTACTTGCCAAAAGCACATTCACATCAGTTTGCCTGCAGCAACGAAGCAATGGAAGCTCAACCGTCTCCGACACATGACAGCTTTGAGACGATCGCCGCATTTGGCCACGAATTGCGCGGTCTTGTCGATCACCTTGACAAGAATAGGACTCAAATGTGCCCTGCCTCTCTTGTCTTCACCTACTTTGCTCCCACAAACTACATAAAACAGATGAGTTGATCAAAAATCTCGGACAGCCGACGCCACGAATGTCTGGTGGAGGGAAGATGAGCCCAACCTTGGGGCTCAGAATGATCAGAGAAAGCCGCCTAGCTGTGGCTTTGGGCTCCCAACTCCCGCGTTGCTTTTGTCTTCATCAGGCCTGGAGGACGAAGCCAGTACAAAAGGACGATGCTTTGCGAACGAAAGGTTCCCGAGCTCCACGCATACTGCAGCGACCCAGGAATATCCCTAACTGAGTCTGCTGCGGCCGAACCACTAACCACAGCTGCGGGGTCTGCTTTGATATTCGTAGGGACTCGGGACGCAAAAACAAGTCGCTACGACCCGGATTCTCGAGATTTGCAACAGCTGTACAAAATGAGTGTTTCTTACCAACCCCGACGCTCCCCGTCGGCCCTATTTGCCTACATGCCAATGTCGGCCCCAAGGGCCGACATGGCAATGTAGGCAAATAGGGCCGACATTGTATCAAATCCGGGCCTCTCAGGGCCTAGTTCTATCAAATCCGGACACGGGAGCCTGCCCAAGCGGACCAAGGTCATCCAAAGCCACCAAACCCCTGCACTGCTTGGGCCTGTAGAACTTCTGGCAGTCTCCCAAACTAAGAGGTTTGGTGAAGATGAAATGCCTCTGTAATGTACCTGCGGGCAAAAAAATAAAGCAAATCCTACGCTAGAATACTTCTACATGCTTGTAATATTGTACTTTGCCACATTGGTATAGAGGTGATTTGGTGGTGGTTTGTACTGGTTTGGCCGAAAGCACTAAACAAGCGGCTTGCAAATCCTAAAAACATCAAGGTGTCAGTCCTGCTTAGTTTTTGCGGCGAATGAAGTCTTTTAGCCTTGCATCCAGCACGGAAGTATACAGAAACAGCACAAAATACCGGGCAGGAATTCGGCTGCAGCTTCGACGGCAGGATGCAAATAACAACAACAGTTGTCAAGTCGGTCCACGGTACCAAACAAAGAAGCTCATGCATCTGTCGATTTGGCATGTTTACTATGTTTTGTACCTACACATACTTATCTAGGACGTAGTGCCTACTCGAAACTTCGGACAGCCCCGAAATGCACAGGAAAACTGAGCGTTGTTCATTGTTCATGGACCGGACTCTTGCAGAAAGGTTGATCTGCAGCACTGTCCAACCACCCTTCCTGTATTGCTGTGTGCAAAGCAGCTGCCGTAACGGTCGTTACTTGCACGTGTTTACGGGTTCCAAATCTCACAATATCGACCGTTGACTGTCCATGCCCCTTATGAGCCCTGAGGTTTGCCATGCAAAACTCCATTTCATGTTATACCAATCACGGCTGCGTGATTAAAATCTTGAAGCTTCTCCGACCCTTTGCTGCTGTTTGGTCTTCCTTCCCCCCTTTGAGGTTGGTGTTGCAACTTCCACCCGTTTAAGGGCCGAATATGGAGCAAGTATATGAAAAAAAATTGCCATTTCTTGCTGAGTTTAGGGTGGGCCACTCCATGCTGGGTTTTTTGCAGATCCCAGGGGTCCTTTTTTGCTTTATTCACTGAATTTAAAGCATAAGGGTTCGCCACTCCGTGTCTTCAGGGTTCTGTATCGGCATGCTGCGCCATTGCCTGACTTTTGCATAACGCATTTACCCCTACCATAGTCTGCCTAGGGTGCTGCCAATCACGAATCCTTGAAAAGCTTTCTAAAGCCGGTCTGTGAAAGTTGAAGTGATAGCGGATAGCGTTTGCTAGGCTGCTAGACCCGATATATCCTTCTTGTTTCAATCTTTAAGGTTTGCAAATCCACGCTCGTTTACGATGTGCCCATTCCGATTCGCATGGTTTCTCGGGTCTAGGGAATGCCACGCCGCTGGCCCCAGTCTTTTGATGTTGCCACTCGCCAGATGGCCACTCTCCATTTCTTGCCACAGTGAGGTCCTACACATCGGATAAACAACTCTGTTTTTGCAAACGCCATCCATCCATCAATCCATCCAATCCATCCAATCCATCCATCCATCCAACCATCCAACCGTCATAACACCAATACATACATGATACACGTACATCCAGACTATATTTCCATATGCTCACACACACACAAACAACGACTCGACGGTTGATGTCATACGTTATTTGAACCTACAAAAACCCCTCTTCGCAAGGAACAGAAAAGTTGAACATTGTTTGTAGTTTTCCCCAGCCCGATTCCGCCAAGCCGCTTCTGTTCGCAAAACCGTTGGTACTGCATTTCCTCGTGATGTTTTTGTTTTCCCATCCACAAGGAGAGAACACGTTTCTTCGACTCGATGCTTGGCAAACCTCTTGCATCTGTCGTGCAGTTGAGACAAGTTGACGCAGTGTCACAAACGGTAACATGGTTGTGGTTCCGAATATCCGTAAGACGTCTGGTCACATGTCATTACCTCCTGTATCTTACTTTTATATGCAACTGCCATATCATTGATCATACCCAACAAGCCTACATGAAACCATATTATGACTGACTTATGTTTTCTTAGATACCGCTCTGTCTATCGATGTATATAAATAGACCCTCCTCCTTTCTGCAAAGCGTAGGGGTCGTCCAGCGACCCTCAGGCCTTCGGCCCGCCCAGCCTACCCGCTGTGTTAGTGAGTGGCCGGCCTTGGGGTTACTCCTGAGTGTGGCAACGAACTACCTAGTGTGCCCTCGGTTTTCATGCCGCAAGCCCCACCCTTTACGCTAGAACCCCCCGCATCCCGGCCTCATCCCCGCGCCCCTGTGGCTAGCCAACCTTAGAACACTTTCCGTGCTCTATCACTTGCTGCCATCTTTTATACCGTATTGGATCTGTAAGGCTCTGCGGCTAGCCCGGAGGTGCCAAGGTCTAGAGGGCTAGCCAAGGCATAAACTCCCCCAAGGCTAGTCTTCGTGAGAAGTCAATGAAACTTCCTGGAAGGCCACTACGAAGGCTCCTGGAGAGCCAAGTGGTGAATCTCAGTGGCTGAGAAAAGTAAGGCTGTGGGCTAGAACAGACGATAGCGCCGGCAATTTGAGGCTTGAAGGCAAGCCGGTTTGCCCGGGGCGGGCAAGTGTCGAGCTCCGTGAGACTTTGGTCAACAGAAACGGCGTCACATATGCGTCAGAAGGCCTCGTCGAGCAGGAAGAAGAAGGTACCTGGGCGCAGGGATCTAGGGCGGGTAACCGAAGGTGTGGTGCCTAGTACCTAGAGTTGTCTTGAGGCAAAGGCTGAGAAGAGGCCAAAGTAAGGCTAGACGAAAGGACCTGTGGCAGGCGTTTCGTGGCTGAGGAGCACGCTCGACTTATGCGAGCACGTGGCCTCGCGGAGGCCAAGTAGGACAGAGGCTGGACTGATAGTCGCCAGGGCTGAGTGGGACTGCAGCAGGAGGCTAGACGGCTGAACAAAGAAAGGCCAGACAGAAGGCTGAGGCCTGGGCCGAAAGCCAACCTAGGTGTGGGCGGGTGGGGCTTTTCGAGAAAACTCAAGTGCTAGAGCCAGTGCTGCGATGTGCTATAGATTCACATGCCTTCTAAAACATACGTGAACAAAAACACGAAACGTTCTAGAAAGGCTTGCACTGCTCTATCACTTGCTGCCATCTTTTATACCGTATTGGATCTGTAAGGCTCTGCGGCTAGCCCGGAGGTGCCAAGGTCTAGAGGGCTAGCCAAGGCATAAACTCCCCCACTTCAGGGACAGATCCAACCGGTAAGGCAGCAGGCAAGTATCCCCCACCGCGGGCGGTGGAGTTGGACCTGAGCCGGCAGGAAGAGCAAGGTCAAGGAGCAGGCAAAGTGTCGCAGAGCAAACAGACGGGAAGGCAGCGGTCCTCTTTTTCACTTCGGCGTGGCGGGCTGGAGTCGGTCCCGGCGTAGCCGTCACTCTGGTCTAGGCAACAGAGGGCTTGTTGTGTCTGGGGGTCCCGACCAGGTGGCCTGGGAGGCCGCAGACGCAAGTCGGTAAAGGCTGACCCGCACTCGTTCTTGAGGTCTGTGGCTGAAGGCTTGAAGCCGACCTCGGCTGAGGTCGTCCGCCCATTGGTTGTGTGCTCCTGCGACGTGAGAACTTTGACTCGCTTGTGGGCTGCCTTGAAGTCCACACTTGCTGCAAGGAATGACCCGCGCGGGTCTGACGGCATGAAGGTAGCCCGGACATCGTTGACGGTAGGCATTGAAACCGCTTCGGGGATGCGGCACATGGGGTTGACCTGGCAGACCGTGCTATCCAGAACAAGTCGAGGGTCTCTGTTCTCCGCCTTTACAAGGCTGAGCTTGCCGACGGCGATGCCCTTTGGCCAAAGCTGCTTGGCTTCCTCAAGGCCGCCTGGCACGGGCTGTATCCATCCTGCGGCTTCTTCGTCTGCTAAAAGGCCTCGTACTGTATCCGGGTCTGCCTCGGCTGGCTTCCAGTTCCCCTCACATACCTCCAATCCTGATGATGCCAGAGGCTGGATCTTGGCTAACGGCCAAAGCCCTGAGGGCTCAATGGGGTCAAAGACTCCTGTGTGTACCCCCACGCGTAACACGGCTGGGAGATCTTTGTCTGGGTCGTTGAGGAGGTCTGCAAAGGCTTGCATAAGATTAAGGCGAAAGGGCTGTCCTTCGGCGGCTTGCGTCATGGAGTCGTAGTCCCATTCCATGACCTCGCAGGCTATCCGAATGAGCTCAAGTTGGTCTTCTTCCGGGATGGGGTGGTCGGGCTTGCTTTGTGCGAGGTGTGCAAAGACTCGTTTGGGCAGGTCGCGTTGGGATGCCCATTTGAGCCAGGCTTGCATAATGTCCTGCATGGCTGCAGGGCTCGGCTGAGGTCGGCTCCAGTCTGCGGAGCTGGTGTTACCGGCGCCATCACAGATGGGGGCCCTGTCGTGTGCCAGTTCTCCATGGCATTGTAGGGCTGATGCTAGAGTTGGAGGCTGAGCTGGTGTGGTAGAGAGTGGCATGGCAGCAAATCTTCCCGCTGCCTCCAGAGCTGCAAGACCCGGGTCGACACAAGGCCACGTGGGCAAGGGAGCTGTGGCTATGAGAATCCTCTCTGCATCTGGTTCCGGGCATAGAAAGAGCCCCCGTCGTGAAGTGCTTCGCAGAACGGTGGCGCCTGGAAGAGGAAATGATCTGCCGGCAGAAATATAGCAAGGCTGATGCTCCGGAGGAGCGGATGGCTTGCAAAAAGGCGCATGCTTCGTCGAGGTGTGGGGCGAGTGAGCTGAGGTCTGCAATGAGGCCTAGAACCACCCGTGACCAAATCGCCTGGAGGAGAAGGTCGGGCAGTTCCTGGCCGTCTTCTTGCGATAGGTCAATGGCGCAGACGTTGGCGTCGCGTGCATGCCGCAGGCAGGTGGAGCCTATGGGGATGGAAGGGCAAACGGCTAGGGTCTTAAGGCTGGGACTACCGGGGGCTTACGGCCTTTGAATTGGCTCCGAGCCGTCCAGACCCGGTTGGCAAACCGTCGTCCCGCCGGACCCCCGCCGGGGTTGCGTGTTACGCTTGGCTGAGGCGGATGCGTCTGCTGTGGGCCTGTGGCTTGGGATGTTGGCGACGGGTGCGGTGGGCTCCCGGTTGAGTGAGGCTGCTCGGGTACCGTGCTGGGAGGAGGCTGAAACTGCTGTTGCGTCTGGGGCTCTGATGCCGGGCCTAGTCACGAAGGCTTCTTGTCGTGGTCTACGGCGCAGTGCTCCTTGCCGCAGCCCCTAACCGCACAGAGGTGGGCGAATTTGCAATTGGGTAAGGCGCAGAGATTCCTCTGGTAATGCTTGCAGAGCACTTTGCCCTTGGCCTTCAACACCCAGTTGGAGGGCCATGAGTCAGACTTGGATGGGCTATCTGGCTTCTGAAGGCCTTTGCCGCGGCCTTTGCCCTTTCCACCTTTTTCGGTGGTTGGCGTGTTAAGGCGGATTCTTTTGCTTGGTGGGGGGGGCGGGTTCCCCCCATTGGGACGGCGGTTGGGACCTGGCAGTGTAGGCGGCGGCCGAGGTCTTGGCTGTAGCAAGTTGCCAAGGTCACTTCGAATGCTAGTGACTAGTGACCTCATATAAGGCCACATCAAGGCTCCAGCCAGATGCAGCAAGGCTTGAGATGGTATTCCAAATCTTGCGATCGGCTGTCAAGAGCTCTTGCGTTGTAGGGCCCCGGAGGGAGGAGTCGGCTAGATCCGGCAAGGCTAAGTGCTCGACTCGCTTGTCAAAGGCTTTGAGGTTGTTAAGGTGGGCTGCTCCACACAATGCCCAAGCGTTTCGGAACACTGTTTGGATGTGGTGTAACCAAGACACAGAAAGGCCGAGGTGGGAGACGGCCATCTCAGGCGTATCGTCGTATATGGCTGAGGCCAGAAGCTGTGCTTCGGTCCGCATAGGCTTGGATGATTTGGCTTCCATAATTTCGGAATACTGTTTGGAGCTGAGGCGAAGCTGCCATGGGATCCATTTGAGCTTCTCTCCTGGCTGAAGGCTGTGTTGCACAAGGCTAAGAAGGCGGATTGATGGCATGGTGTCATCGTCCAGGAGCTCTCCGGGATAGTTGGATCTTGCACGACCTCCGAGCTGAGCTTAGGCGGCAAATGCTCCATCCATGAGGATGGTGAGGTCGTTGGGGCCAGGGCTGCTGGGAGGGATGGTATGGCAGATGAGGGCTGAGGTCCCTCCTGTGCTTTGTGCGCTGAGCGCAAGGCTTTCCTGGCTCGTGCTGCCTGGACAGAATGTAGTGCGTCTGAGACCCCCGAGTCGCTGAGGTCCGACTCCGAGAGGTTCTGCAGAAAGGTGTCAAAGCTAGTAAGGTCTGGGTAGGCAAATGCCAGGTCCTCAACTGTCTCAAGCCCCTTGAGGGCGAGGCCGTTGCAGACTACTTCGTGCACCCCCTGCGCCTGCAGGAATGCTGTGAGCTCCGATTGCTCAAGGAGTGCCATAATCGTTGGCAATCTAGTTGCAACTGATGGGGTAAGCCTAAACGGCTGCGGTAGGAATGGCATGGCAAAAGATCAGGCTGACCGGGCAAATGCACAACGACGCTCCCGCATTTTCCTTAAGGCAGTGCGTCCAGCAGGCGTCGGCAAGCCGCTCTGCGGCAGAAAAAGGCTGTGTTGGGACATGTAGGGCAAAAGGCGGCCGTGGAGCGGGGCGTCCCGCATGCCGCTTTGTCGGCTCCCAACGGCTGTGCGTGCACGGATCCCCATGGTCCGTTTTGGAAGATGACTATGTCTTCCACTGTCGGCAGGGTGGCTTGTTCCTCCGAGTCGGATGAGTTGGCTTGTGAAACCGCAAAACTCTCCACTAGCAAGGCCTCGATATCGTCTGCGGGTATGGTCGGAGGGAGGCTGCTGGCCCCGGGTGTCCTCTGCTCCGATGGCTGAGTATCGGCACTTTCCGCGGTGGCTGGTTGGGTTTCGGGGCTAACCTGCTCCAATTCGGCTTCACGTGAGTAGATGAACCTGTCTAGGCCCTTTCCGAGGGCTGAGAGCTGGAAGGCGTTGGGTGGCGGTGACGAGGTGACTGAGAAAGGCGGCTCCACTGTCGGGTGCTGTCCTCCCCGGGCAATTGGGCGCGACGGCCTCCAACCTGAGGCACATGCTTGGGTGATTTCGGTTTGTAGGGCTAGAGCTCCGAGGGTATCATCTCTCCCGTAAAGCTGTACGCTAGGGTTTTTGTGATGGCCTTGTTGTTGGCGTATTTTATTTTCCAACGAAACTTCCGTTAGCGCGCGTTTGGGAAACCCTAACTGCGCTGCAGAAAGGACCCTGTGCAAAGCACTCTCTTTTTTTCTCCTAGCGGACATGGGGGGTCGGTTCGGGCCCGATCTTCGGGCTATGTCGAAACGATGCCACTGGCATTTCAAACCAAAACTCGACCGCTGGTCGGTGGTAAGGCGAACGACTGGTTCACCCCCCCTACTAGGGGACAACCCGTACCACGGGGAGATAAAGTGAAACATGCTAGGACCTACTGGGTCACTGCAGCTACTAGGTGCTACTCTGCATTTGCACGGCCTACGGCCTATATACAAAAGCGCACTCTGTGCTGAAAACTCTCCGCGGGAGAGAGCATAGGAGCGCTGCTCCTGGCAGCTCTGCTGCCGAAGCGGTGTCCCGGACCCCGCATACTATACAGGGTGTGGTGGGTGGGACAAAAACTTTTTGGATCACAGATCCAACTCCAAGCCGAAAGCTGCACGGCAAAGTTTGTCTAGTGTCACTCACACACAAGTGAAAACACTGTTTTCCTTTTTCGACAAACTTTGTCTACACTTTCGGCGGAAAATAAAACCCATTCACGCACGCATGATGGATGCTTATTTTCCAACGAAACTTCCGTTAGCACGCGTTTGGGAAACCCTAACTGCGCTGCAGAAAGGACCCTGTGCAAAGCACTCTCTTTTTTCTCCTAGCGGACATGGGGGGTCGGTTCGGGCCCGATCTTCGGGCTATGTCGAAACGATGCCACTGGCATTTCAAACCAAAACTCGACCGCTGGTCGGTGGTAAGGCGAACGACTGGTTCACCCCCCTTGAAGGCACTCGAAGCCTTACTCACCCCCCATCTAGTCCGCGCCGAGTGACAAAGCCAACGACACTGCGTTGGGCGGCAAAAATTGGCGCTCTGCGCCAAGCCGTTGTGTCTCCTCCCACCAGTCTCTGCTGGGGCCATCAGCTATATTGCTGTCTGTGGGGACTCGAAAGAAAGCGGCCCTGCACTGCAGGGATTCTTCGAAGTCCACCGCCTGCGAAACTATCGCAGCTCCTTCCACCTTGCGTGTGAAGGCCTTGTGCAGGGAGGTACGCGCTGCGTCGTTGTCTATCCAGACGAACAGGTCGCTGCCTGCTATGTGCTTAGCCCACATTTGGAGGCTGAGCAAGTAGGGCAGCAGCTCGCACTCGTAGACGAGCTGCTGCTTCTCAGCTCTGGCGGCCCACTGGGCTGTGACTTGGCTGCTGATCTGCAGCCCCCAGGTGAAGGCGATGCCTTCTCCGATGAGCACTGCTCCGAGGCCACACTTGGGCACGAGTCTCGGGGTCTCCCACTCGCAGGCCCCGTCGATGTACAGGTGCACTTTGCGGCGTGCATGGATGGACACTGTCCTGGGCGGTCCGTGCACGACTCTCTGCAGCAGGAACGCCATGGCTTGGCATTGCTGCTCTGTTAGGGGGACTTGCTCTGGTCCATCCCCGAGAACGTCGCCTACGCAGATCACTGCCATGCGAGTGTTACGACCCCAGGCTTGCTGCTCAGCGAAAATGAGCCTGCCGCGCAGGCTCTGCGCTTCCAAAGGGGACATGCTTCCGCGGGCGAGGGCCTCGCTGAGGACCAACCCCAGCTCTGCTGCACGGGTTGGCTTGTTGCTCACTGAGATTTCTCCGAGGTGCTGCTTGGACAAGTCCACTCGCACGCCTAGCACGTCAAAGACTTCGCTGAAGTCTGCGTTCTTCTTGGGCTCTGTGGCCACTTGCCAACCCAGCTTGTGAAAAAGGTTGGACACTGCCAACGTGACGAGCTTTGAATGCGCGCTGCGCGTAAGGACGGTGAAGTCGTCAAAGAAGCTTGTCATGACTAAAGCAAGCTTTTCGCGGCCGATGGCTTTGAGCGCTTCGCTGCAGCGGAGGAAAGCGTGCACGGCGGCAACGGCGCCGAAAGGCATGCTATGTAGGTGGGCGATTTTCACCTTCCCACTCTGTGGGTCCAGCATGACGATGCACGCGAATTTCTTGTGTGCGGCCTGCACTGCAAGCTGCTTGTAGGCACTCTTAAGGTCCCAGGTCCTGCCTACAATGCGGTGGGCCCGCTCTGCGGGAACACCTTGGCGA